GCAAGGTCCTGAGTTCGATCCCCCGTACCAAAAAAAAAAAAAAAAAAAAAAAAAAAAAAAAAAAAGAGTTTACTTTTAGTTGGCAGCAATGTGCATGCTTTAGAACTGACTGGATGAAATACACTCATCAGAACTGTTTTTTTAAAATAAGGTTTTAAGGCTAAAATACTGACAAACATTAGAACATTATTGATCCAAAGTTCCCCTAAATTTGTAGAATTTATAGTTGTCACTTTGTTAAATCTCTGTACAGCAAATATTGAAGATAATATGGAACAAGTGATTCTTGCAGAAATTTTTAAAAAACTTATGGAAACAATCACAAATTTTAGCACTGACTTTGATGATGGCACTGTTTCAAAGTAACATCCTACTATTAGAGGAATCAACTGGTTGTTTTTAAAAGAAAATACTATGGCCTTAAAACTAAATGGAATATAAAAGTAGACTATGATACTACAGCTTTGATCCTTGATTTCCAAACTAAATGGGAAGTGACTTTGTTATGATCCTAAGAAATTAAGGTTATTAAAACATTGTAAATTGGTAATAAAGGCTATACTTTCAGGGATCATTTCTATAGTTGGTAAATTGGTAATAGCAGTCTTTACAAATGCTACTTTAAAAAAATTTGTTCATCGCATAAATATTTATTGGGCAGGGCTATAAACTAGGTGATATGATCAGCAGAGTCTGTGACAATGAGTAGACATTCATGGTCCTTCCGGCAAGGAACTCTTTTTCTAATGAGTGATAAGGAGGAGCAAACTGGAATTTACATCAAGCGTAAAAAGGCCAGGGAACAGGGAGACACCTCTGGCACCCCAGAAAGGTACTTCACTTGGACTTCATAGAGATGAACTGATTACAGATGAACTTCATAGAGATGAACTGATTCATAGAGATGCCTGAACCGATTAGAAAGATTGGACAAAAGAGCACAAGGACAAAAGTGTTCCTGGAGGAAAAACCAACCAGTGCAAGGTCCAAGGTGAGTAAGAAGGTTTTCAGTTTGGCCCTAGAGAGCTGAAAAGGACAATTACAGAAGAGGCTGAAGAAAAAATGAGAAGTAGATCACCTAGGGATTGGTAGTCATGTTATGGATTTTTTTTTTTTTTTTACTTTATCCCAAGAAGAGAAAAGAGGCTAAAAACAGAGAAAACATTTCATTTGTATTATAGGAAGACCAATCTGGATGGAGAACAGATGAGGAAAAAGGGGATTAAGAGCAAAAGGTGGGAGACCTGTTAAGGGGCTACAGAAGGTGAATGGGCAGGCAGTGATGGCCTCATCCACAGCAACCAGAGGGAATGCAGATTCCAGAGACAGCAGGAGAGCAGAGTTGTCAGGATTTGACACAGGCGGAGAGAAAGAGAAAAACTGAAAGATCAAGCCTGGGTGTGGATCTGCCATTTACTGAGACACAAGAAACAAGGGTGAGTAAGGTGGAGGGGTTGGAAGAGAGAAATGAATTTGGAGTTAGAGATGGTGACTTTGAAGTAATGTGGAGGGAGAGATGAGGTCTTAGAAGAGAACCAACTCTGAAGAAAGTTAGTATTTAAACAACAGAAAGAAAGAAAATAAGACCGTGAGACTAAAAGAGGTAGGAGGGAAAGCAGAAAAACACTGTCACGGGTGCCACTGGGAGCAGAGGGCTGAGAGTAGCAGAGAGCAGTCAACAGAGCAATGCTGGCTAGAGGTCTAGAGTTGAAAGGATCCTTTAAGCACCCACTGAATTTAGGGGCAAAGGTGCTCACAGCCTCTTGTGGGAGTGATGTCAGTGGAATGGTCAGACTGTGGGCCAAGAAGTAAGTGCAAGAGAGGTTGTTTTGGTTTTGTTTCCCTTTTTAAAGAGATAGCCTTGAGCGTGTCTGAATGCTAAAAGAGAAACAGTGAAAGGACAGGAGGGAGGTTTAACCTTCAGGGAAAGCAGGGTGGGGCAGGAAGAAGGGGAGGAAATCACTGTAGTAATGTCCAGGTCTGACATCAGGAAGTTTGTATTTTAGCACTCTTCCCATTATTTACTAGGTAATTCATGCAGGGAATAAACTGAACCTACTGCAAATCATGAAGTAAGTTACTATTCCAGGTCAAGAATCAGATCTTTACATGAAAACAAAATAGTGCTAATCCCATTAATGTAATTTTTGTTTCTTTTTAACTTAACTTAGAATTGCCCAAGTATATGTTAATTTTGCTTTCTATAAATTAGCTCCTCCTCTACGTATTTTTCATATGAATTGAGCATGTCATGGCCACAGGCCTATGGTCATCTTAATGGGAAGAAAAACTTCGTGCACCTTATTCTGTTATTTCTTCCTCCTCTTTTTGCTGAACCACAGCCTCCCTTCCTTTCTGCCATGGACAGCGAGTGCTCAAACAGTGTCACATGCTGCACAGATGAGCCATGGAGGGGGCCTGACCCTCAGTACTTTCGGCCCAGGTCAGAAACCTGCACCCTGTCTCTACCCAGGAGCAGAACAAACCCCCTACTCAAGGGCCCATTCTTTAATCAGAAACAACAAAAGCAGAGCAAAGGGAAACAAGTGGTTTATTGTTTTCAGAGAATCTAAGTGGATAGGGTTCCATGGTGCCCTGGAGTGAGTGTGTGTTCTTGTCTTCCTTTCTCTCTCTCTCTTTTTTTAATCAGAAGAAATGACTGCTATATAGGGATTAATGTCTAGTTTCCATCCAGCCGTGAAACAGACTTTTAAATATCAACCTTCAAGCAAGGCTTGAGCAGGAAAGCTGAAAGAGGGCATGCAAGATGTGTATTTTTTCTTCTCCAAAGGTAACTTTGAGCATAAGCCTGAAGTAAGACCCTTGTTTAAATGCAATGAATAAAATCCCTCCAAAATGGATCCTTAGAATCACCAAAAACTTCAAAAATTTCTTTAATTAGAAAAATCCCTAGGGCCAGGGTTTAGCTCAGTGGTTCTGCCACCTGCTTTGCAAGCACAAGGTCCCGAGTTCGATCTCTGGTCCAAAAAAACCCAAATCTTTGTTTTATAAGCAATATATCTTCTGTACTTAATAATCCCCCAGAAAAGCCTTAGAATATTTGTATTTGTATCCCAGTGACAAATGTCTAGTATACAGCAGTAGATACTTAGTATTTTTCAAATATATGACCTCTGCAGTTTTCTATAAATATTTGCAGAAAAACTAATAGATATTTTATTAAAAACCCATTAATTGAAACTTTAGCCCTCAGCATACCGTGAAAAGCACTGACCTGGAGAATGTCTGCTGGACGCAGTCAAAGCTGCCCTGAGGGTTGTCTCTGCCCACATTTGACAGATAGAAGTTAAAGTTGTGTACTTCGTTGAGGGGATCATTTTTGGGAATTTTGACAAGCTAAAAGAGGGGGAAAGACAGAAACACCTTAAATTACAAATTTTCCAGGGAAGATCTTATGACGAACTGGTTTGACAAGTGAGTCATTTTATAACCTTGATAATTATTTTTTTTAATTTCTTCCCTCATTGATTTATTGGTACTTTTAGGTATACAGTCCAGTTACCTTCACCACTGGGATCATGTACCTCTACATGACAATAACCTTGATATTTAAATGACCAAATAAATCAAGAATCCGACAAGCATACCTATATCTTACCACCTTTTACTTCCATTTTGTACCCTGTAGTGTCACTAATCACTTCTGCTCAGTAACTGTGAGATGAGCCCTCCTCATTCCACATAAGCACATGATTCTGGTTCATATGAAAGGGTTATTAGTAAATTTGCGAAAACATCCTCCCTCCTCTGAGATACATGGGTTCTGTCTTTGGCTGATAAAACTCTCTACTGACTAGCTTCTGTGTTTAAAAGTTCTTTGAGATACAGGCAATATCCTAATCTTTTGTTCTTAATAAAAGCACATTTTAATTCTTGCTCCTCTGAGTAGTATCTGTGTGGACAAATAACAACAGTACAAGGTTAATGTCCTAATTACGTTCACAGGCAAAATGCAACTGTTACGGTTCACCTTGCCCCAGTGATTCCTGATTCCTCCTCCTGTTTACACAAGACCAGCAGCCTACAGAAAAGATCTTGCAGGTCAGTCCCAACCTGAGCCTCTGGCAGCACTGCAAGCTGTGCACGTGTTTCCTGAAGTCTTGCTCAAGGTCTAGTTTCCTTGCTGGATAAGAAGCCCCCTAAGTGAAAGGACAGGGTTTCTCTACAGGTGACCAAGGCCACAGCAGGTTCACTTCCATTTCGATGGTAGGAGCCCAAGGAACCTGTGTCAGCAAACTGTAAAGTCACTCCTTCAACTGTACCACTCTTCTCAGCATAAGAAACTTCTCTTCCTTTGGGTCTGTAGCCCCCGCCATGGTTTTGGGTGGTTAAACACTTCCCTCCACCTGCCTTCTCTACTAAATTACAAAAACGGCACTTGGGGGATGGAGGGTGGGAAGCCATAGTTTACAAATTTGCCAACAAACCTTTTTTAAAAATCATTACCTTACTTATGCTGCTAAACACCCATCCTTCCAGAAATCTGTTTTTCCTATGATTGAAAATGAAGAAGCAGAGCTAACTGGCTATAGTGCACACACCCATGAAGGGGCTAAGAGCACAAACATGTGAGGATACTCTGCAACCTGACCTAATTAATCATAAGCTGTGGCCTGCAGGAAGGGCCTGGAGCTGCCATCTCCAACCCCTCAGAAGAGGAAGAAGGGCGAGAAGGGAGACACTTGGCAGTATCTGGCACATAGTAGACTTCTAGTAAATACCTGTTGAAATGAATGTGCAAGGACAAGAAATAAGTCAAGGAAATACATCTTTTCAGAAGAGATTCAGAAGACTTGTGTGATGCTTTGAAAGGTCATGTTTCACTAAAGGTGCTGAGTATTAGAGAATAATCTATGAGGGCTGGGATTTAGCTCAGTGGTTCTGTCACTTGCCTTGCAAGCACAAGGTCCAGTTTGATCCC